CAACCTCTATTATCAAGCAAGTCTAAGATGTTACTTTTGTAAAGAAATTCTTAGAAGTTATTTTTATACTGTGCTAACCTGCGCTCTGGAGTAATCAATACAACCACAAGTGTGTGTTTTTATGCTCTTCAAACGCTACAGACAGATCAATGCAGCATAACTTAAGTGACAAACATGTACTAAACAAGTTTACAAAGTTTTCATCACAGTTGATCTTCTTTTCTATCACACAATATACTAAACCTTAAGCTATAGTGATCTACTATAATAACATGTTTACAATATTAGTGTACGTTACAGGACCCAACTATTTTTGATATAATACCAGCAATATTTTAGTATGACAGATGAGATAAATACATTTCAAATCAAAATGTCTTGATTAATTGTAACTAGCATCTGAGATAAATAACTTCTAGTTATGAAGAATAGAGACAAATGATAGAATTACAAATATATTGTAATGCAGTTGGTGGCACGATGAAAACGCATTTGCTCAAAAAAACAAACAAAACTAGAAGGAACACGGTAGTGTATTGTGCGGCCAAAACAACCTGCAGGACACCCTGTGTGTTATTAACAGGAGTGATAGTTTAGCAATTTTCCACTTTCTGTAGCTCGGACTGTGGTAATCCAAACTATCACATATTTTCAGTTGATGTGCTCTGCTGGACTCTTACTTCACATATCAAGTTTCAAGGAAATCCACTCAGAAATACAGTAGATATAAAATCTACAACCTGCAGGACACCCTGTGTGTTATTAACAGGAGTGATAGTTTAGCAATTTTCCACTTTCTGTAGCTCGGACTGTGGTTCTACTGTATTTCTGAATGGATTTCCTTGAAACTTGGTATGTGAAGTAAGAGTCCAGCAGAGCACATCAACTGAAAATATGTGATAGTTTGGATTCATAAAATCTACAATTTTGATTGAATTTCTTCCTTTTTTTTCTTCCCACCAAAAGTACGGAAATTTTATTTGATAGAAAAACATACTTGACTTTCATGGATTTTTTTTCAAATTTTAAACGCCCATAAATCTTTAAAAACTACAATTAGATGTCAAATGTGGTCTAAATATAAGCCACATGTGCAAAGTTATTAACAAAAACACTCAATTTTGACTAAACTTTTTGTGCATGTCTACGCAAAAATTCACGTTAACTTTCGGTCTGAAATTTTACTACAGCTTCACCTAAGAATAAAGATGGACAGTTTTTGGTTTTTTGTCGTTCGGATTAAATATGGCTGATTTAGAGCAACAAAACCATAGGGTGAAAGCACGTGCAGATGCATTGGTTAGGCCAAGCAAACTAGATTGAGAAATTGTAAACAACGTTTCCAATATGAAGTCGATAGTCTTTAGTTACAGATCATGGCTTGAAATACCATAACTAAATATAATTTCAACAAGTTTCACTAGCAACATAATATATATTTGAAAAACGTATGTCTGTCCGCCCTTGTGTATGAGAAGTAAGAATTGTATGTTTGAATTTCGCGCAAAGCTACACGAGGGCTCTCTGCGCTAGCCGTCCCTAATCTAGCAGTGTAAAACTAGAGTGAAGGCAGCTAGTCATCACCACCCACCGCCAACTCTTGGGCTACTCTTTTAAAAACGAATAGTAGGATTAACCTTAACTTTATAACGCCCCCACGGCTGAAGGGGCGAGCATGTTTGGTGTGACGGGGATTAGAACCCGCGACCCTCAGATTGCGGGTCGAGCGCCCTAACCACCTGACGATGCCAGACCAGAAGTAAGAAAAGAGAGTTTGTTTGAAGTTAAGCACAAAGCTATACAATGAGCTATCTGTGCTTTGCTTTCCACGTGTTTCGAAACTTGGTTTCTAGTGTTGTAAGTCCGTAGACATACCGCTGTGCTAGAGGGGGGGGGGGAGACGAAAAAAAAATGAAAACAAGATAAAGAAAACAAATATACACAAAAGGCCTACTAAGAGCGACTCCTATGGATTAATTTCTGTGTGTATGTTGTTGAAATGTAACAAAATAAATATTTCTATTATTGCAAATTTTTTAAATCGTAATTTTAATGTAATATTGTCGCATCAAGATGATTTTTAAAAGCCCGTATCCAATTTATGTAGTTAAATAAAATATATGTGCGATAAGCATGTTTGAACAGGTTTTCTATTTATTTGAGTTTCAAATATGTTTTATGTTTAATTTTCTCAAATTTTATTTACAGATTCAATGTTTTGTTGAATTTGAAAAAAAAATTAACAAGTGCAAAAACATGAATGGCTAATATAAACTTTTGAAAGAGGAGTGATACAAAGTCGTTCGGTTGTTAACAAGTACATAAAAATAGATGAGTAATTCAAACTTTTGAAAGAGGAGTGATATAAAGTCGTTCTGTTGTTAACAAGTACATAAACATGGATGAGTAATTCAAACTTTTGAAAGAGGAGTGATATAAAGTCGTTCTGTTGTTAACAAGTACATAAAATAGATGAGTAACTCAAACTTTTGAATATGGAATGAGTACACACAATATCAACATTGTCGGAGATGGTTTTTAGATTTATATTATTAACAGATTTATTGTGACGTAATATCGCCCAGACATCTACTATATAAAGACGAAAAGTCGTCCGTCTGTCACGCCGATATCTCGCCCGCTGAGGTACGATCGACACGCAACTTGCACGAAACACGGCGCTCTCTGCGGCGATAAGCGAATTTGTCTTTTTAAAATTCTTCCACCTATATATATATAAAATGGACAATGCGCTACTTTGGGCATATAATTATATTTGAGGGAAGATTGGTAGAGATCGTGATGAGTAACAAAATCGAATCAGGTTTACGAGCGTCCCGCGCTTTGTATTGCGCACAAAACTCGTAATCATTGGCTGAAATTCCCCATTACGTTTGCTTATTTGTAAAGGGGACACACTGACGCAACATCACCAAATGACGTAGATCACGTCAAAACATGTACGTGTAGAGTGATATTTCTGTTTTAAAGTGGAAGCCGTTCGCTTTCAATAAAGTTTTTATTGTATAAATACAAAACATTGTTTTTAATTATTTATTATAATTAAAAAAAATCACCAAATTTTGTCCAGTCGGAACCCTTGGCTACAACTCTATAATAACCCGCAGCACATTTAAAATTTACTGTCTTTATCATCATAATTAATAATTTGCAGGGTCATACAGTTGACCAAGGAGAAATATGCCTTTGAGAATCCGTTTCTTCGCATGTTTCAATCTATAAGAATTTGTCAAGAAGAAAATCTGAACATAACTTTAAAATTTACAGAAGTCAAAATGTTAATCAAACGTTACTTAAATGAAATGACCAAATATACATAAAAAAATGTTGTTTTCGTGAAATACAAGAAATAGGATAGTCATTCTTCATACATATATTGTTATTAGATTATAATTAATTTTTAGAAAACATGTTCATAAAACATTTATTTAGATACAGTTTTGAGAAGAGAGTTTGTTTGTTTTTAATTATGCACAAAGCTACACAAGGGCTATCTGTGCTCTGCCCACCACGGGTATCGAAACCCGGTTTCTAGCGTTGTAAGTCCGGAGACATATGCGCTGTGCTACTAGGGGGGGGGGGGGCTGAGAAGAGAGAATGACAATTATTAGTTTGTAACTAATATATATCGTGCGATGCTGACTAAGCCTTTCTTATGGATATATGTTACTACTCGACAGGATTCAGAAAACGATCAAGACAAGTACTGGCGCATAAACAAGGCAAACGAACACAACCAACATCTTTATAGTCAAGTAATAATTGTAACAAGTATTTTCTGCTTAAACATGTTTTAAATATTGTAATACAAGGTTACCAACAAACCAATTTAGTAACACAACTAGTCGATACCCTCACCGGTCGTTATTATGAGTCGGTGTAAAATCAACACGTAATAAAAATAATTTTGAAAAAAATGAGGATGATATAGGGATGGCAATGCCACAATGTACAGAAACAAGGTAGGGATGAATACACAAAACCATACAAAAATATCTAAATACGTAACCAAATCTGTCTAAGAAAAAGTTTTATCTACAACTAAATGTTGAATTCTTTTCATTTGCACAAATTCAGGCTTGGATAAAAGTATTTCAACTGAATAATGTTATAAAGTATTACAATGGCTAGTTCCCATAAGTTTGTAACATTGACTCAGTGGTTACT